GCCCTGCTTTTTTCTTTTCTCCTTTTGTTTAAGCATTTGCACTGACCATTGCCGAAGCAGCATGCCACATGCCAAGTTCAATCTGAGGACATTTATATGAAGGTACCGTGGCTGCAAAGTTTTTGCAGCAAGCAGCTAGCAGCCAAAGCTTCATTGCATGTGTCACTGCGGTGCTGAGCACTCGCGACCTCATTGCATGGCCATCAGGGTCTCCTGTACAGAGTTCCCAAACAACTCGAAACGACCTCATTTTCACCGAGGTGTTGCAGAACCAGCCTGTGGTGCCTTCTGCGACACAGTGGCATTGGAAGCCAGCCCCTCGCCTGCCAAAGCTGGTTTCGAGTCACTGGGGAGGGAGAGTTTGCAGGGTCCAAGGTCACGGCGGAGTGGTTACGAGATGGTCACCAAAACCTGGTTAGACTCTTAGACTTCGCGCTTAGGGATGGAAGGCGAACCACGTCCGATTTCTTCGACCAAAAAGTCCAGCTGAGGACTGTATGCAGCTGTCCAACAACCCAGTGCCTCGACTTTACTGAAGAGGTCGGCGCTCCTGCTTATGGATGATAGTGTATGCAGGCACCGGCGCCAAAACGCACTCATGCAACCCCAGCCGCAGCAGACACATATCACCCATGCATGGTTGCGTGCATCCACATACTTGCCGTTTTCGGCGGGAGGCGCAGCTGTCAATTTGTCACAGATCAGCTCACTTGCACCTACCATGGTTTGTGCTTGTAGGTATAGTCACGCCTGATTCATGCTAACTCGGGCTGCGCATGCTGGTGGGAAGCATCCCCTGGCAAGACATGCTAAGGGCCCTGAAAATAACTTCTACAGAAAGAGTATTCAAGCCGCAGCCGAGGTCTTTTTCCAGATTGCAAAGAAGATGGAGGCTCAACGCCAGGCGCGTGCACGTAGCTACCGGATGCCTGTTCTTGTGCTATTCTCAGAATAGTCTTCCACTTGCGTCAGGGTCTAGCACAGGACGTGAGATGTTACCCCTGTGTCAGAGTTGACGAGTCTTTTCCAGGCAGATCTGAACGAATTCCGTCCCAAAGATGCAGTCCCAAAAGGCATTTTCTCTTTGTAGGATGTCGCAGCCCACACAATCAGAAGCCCCCGAGGTGGCCGAGCGGCCTTCGATCCTAACCAACCAAAACTCGATGCGGCCAGACAAGAAGCTTGCCCCTGGGGCTCTAAGCCTGGTTGGCAAACGGGGAATGTTGAGAGGTATTTGGGGCAGATGTACAAGAGTTTGAGTTTCGAACAGCCGCCGGGGCTGCATCGGCGGTCTGGGCCCAGGACTTGCTAGCTGCGAGTTGCGGGGTTTGGGGGGTTTGAGGTCCAGGATCTCAACTACCACCTGCCATCGCCTGATCATTCCGGCCCCCTGAACCCCAAACAGCCACGACAGCCGCATGCTGTTTCTGCAAACTTTCGATGCAGCCGAGGGTCGCCGCGCTTCCGGTGCCGGTCTCATGTTCCTCGCGGAGGCACAAACGAGATGAAGTTTTGCGCGACACAACCATCCTTGTTTTGGAAAGAAGATGTGTTACTCATGCACCTCTCAACAGGAAAGGATGCCTACAGAAAACTCCCCAGCCCATCCTTCTCGGCACATCTGTATCTTCCTGGCAGACGATGTCTGAGACACAGCGCCCTGCGGGGGCCATCCTCTCGCATGCCACCTCGCGTGCCTCTGTGCCCCGGAGAACAAAGCCACCATCCATCCTTGAGTGGGATCGGGTTTGTGGAATCCGGTTTCACAGGTTATTGCTGAGCCCGCAACGGGAAGTTCCCAGAAAGACGCAGAGCTAGCTCCTGGTTTCATTGAAACACTGTTCGACTTGGCCTTGGCTTGCTGCGTTGGCAACTTAAGCTTTGCCGGCATCCTTCAACGTTTTCGGGGGCATTACACCAGCTCTGAGCACAAGCTTCGGTTCTAAACATGTCTGAGCATCTCTGAATGGTGTGAGACCCTCACCTCGCGGCCTTTGCCAGGAATCGGAGTTATCCACGAAGCCCAAGTTGCCTTTAAAGCCACCGCCCAGTTGGCCCCAGACAGCGATGCAGATTCCATCAGCCCGGCACGCAAAGCCTTCGGCCATGCCTGCGAGTTGATGCAGTTTCGGCTTCGGGTCCTGTGGTTCTGGCCACTTCAGAGTATACCCGCTCGCCTATGAAGATTTGCGGCCAGGCCGGTCCGCCACATCGCCTCAGCCTGAGCGAGCGGGGGTGTCTTAGGATTGTATACCCAGCCCCCCACCCCCCCCAAAAAGAAGAGAACAAACAAAAGAGACCCCAACACGATCGTGTGAATATTAAATTCGGGTCCTCATTTCAGGGTTTCGGGCGACCAAGTGGTCCTGGTTGTCGGAGTTCTGCTGTCAAATTGCAAACGCTCAGTCAAGAGGATATGCCCAACCTGAGCCAAGGGCGAGCAACCTCTTCGATACCGTGGACAACGGTGGCCGTCCTTCCATGTCCATGAGCAGATTCTTAGCTGCACCAGCTCCCTCTCAGGATTTGCTGGCGCCTAACCTGACAGATGTGCAGAATGGTACCTGAGCAACCTTCATACGGTAGTGCTGTCTGATGCCTTCAGCAAAGGGTATTGTCTGCCTACGCGCTACTTTTGGGCGCTGATGTCTTCAATCCTGCAGGTGCTCATAGCATGCCTAATCGAGCAGGAGGAGGTGGCAGGAGGCCGGGCTTGCTGTCTTTATTTTAGCTTGGGTGACCACGCCTGTGTAGGCAAGTTGTAGGGAATTCGTTTGGAGAGGGAACTCCATGTCCATGTTCAGTCGGCAGCTAGCCGTTTGGGAGCTTCAGCAGCATATTCGGCTTGCCAGGGCTTCTCTGGCCGTTGGGAAGGATGGCCTGCCTGAGGCAGGGTCGCATGGGCGGCCTGAGGTCTCTCATGAATGTTAGCCTGTGAGCACACAAGTGGGAAAAGCTGCCGGTTCAGAATAACAAAGTTAGCCCAGACATGTTGCCTGCACAAGAGTCGAAAGGCCGAAATGGCTCAAACAAAATAGGGGCGATTGTGTGAATCGCAAACCCTTGCGGAGTTGAGTGGCGGTCCTTGTCTTCTGCCCGAAGATGGAGCTCGTTTAAGTTCTAAATGCCGGTATCGCGGAACTCCAAACTTTTCCCACAATCTCACGTCAAAGGGCCTGGTTAGGAAGAGTCGCCCGCCTCAGCCCGAAGTACTGGGTCTGACCAGTTGAAGCTACGACGTTAGCCGCGTGAAGTCGTTTTGCCAGGGCAACATCTAGTGTTCACTCCCCTTAGACTGACCCACCCTCAATCGCTTGCTTTGCCTTGCCAGCAAGACATGTATGGTACAGGTTTCCAAAGATCCAAACTCACTTGCGTCAGATTGCAGGACAGCCGTGCGCTCATGGAGCGACATGCTGCTTGGCTCCATTCCAGTCGACGTGCAATTCCTGGCGAGCACCAGCTCCAACCTAAAAACCGAAAGGCTTTGTGTGAGTGCGAGCGTCGAAGGCTGCAAGTCCAAACCGTTCCCAGCTCGCCATCCCACATCATTATGAACCCTAGCCGAGTTATGTCTGCTGGTCCTCTGACCGTGCCCCAGAATTCAGGACAAATCTCTGAGCACAACTCTTGAGCCCGTGCTATGTGAGTTAAGTCAAAAGCCGCCCCATGTTTATACAGCAGCCTCCTGCTTCCCACAGTGAGCTTAAAGAAGCACGCGAGTTTGCGGTCTGCAGTCGAACTTGCAGGGGGTTTCCTGCTAGTTTTCGATGCCTAGAAGGCCACAGGCCATTCTGGGAACCACTGAGGCATGGGGATTGATTCAAACCATGAACCCTTCTCTGACAACCTCAATAAACCCCGGCCCATCATGCTTCGAAACACCAGCGCTCCCCGCACCCACTCACTACTCCTCAGCCATGGCAAATAGGCGAAGCTTCGGCTGGAGCAAACCGACCATGAGCAGCAGTTACTGGCTGAGGAGGCGAAGCTGTCTCAGGGATGGGACCCCGAGAGTTCTGAACCCTGAAGTGGGACGCAGATGCACAGCATACTCATCCCCTCCCTCCCACCCTCCGCCAGGAGCGCCGGAATCAAGCGAAGCTCGCAGAGATCCTGGTACCCCGGCCGAAGTTTGGTTGGCAGGAGCTGTCTCTCCAGGCTGAAGTTCCAAGTGCTCTGGTTTGAGTTTCGTGTGCTTGAAACAGGCAGGCAAGCCCTGTTTGCCGGCAGTTCTCAGCACAAGCTTCGCCAGCAGTCCTAGAACAGAGCGAGGAGAGGAGAGCAGGCTCCAAGCTTGAAGAACCCAAAGGCCCCTCCTTGGATGCCCTAAGCTGGGGCAGTTGTGAGGCAAAAGCTTGGGGTGTGGGCGGCAAGCGAATCTCGGGAATGATGTCCAAGATCGAGCGGCTTGGGTGAGCAGTGCTGCGGGGCTTCGGGCTTGGCGGTGTAGAAGGCTGACGGTGAAGGTAGGAAGGAAACTTGGTGCTTATGCTCTACACTGTACACACTTCGGTTACCGGGTTCACCGATTTTGACGCCTGTCTTCCTGGCATTTGCGAGACATGCTGGGACTCCACGGTAAGTGAGTTCCCCTTCCAGCATTCTCGCCCAAGGAAAGATGACAAGAAGAAAGGCAAGCTGGGCGGCCGCGTCCTGGACAAGGAGGCACTTCATCTAACAGCCTGCTCTAATATTCTTATAGCAGCGCGTAAGTGAGAAGGTGGCTTCAGCCCTAACTGAAACATTATCCAAAACTTTTTGGCTCGGAATGTCGGTCTTTCACTCCGCATGTGCAGGCCGAGAAGGAGAAGAAGGACATGGGTGAGGGTCGGCTCTGCTTGTAGTAGGCATCATTTTTGCAGTCCATGGGATCTTCTCAAGTCAAGAAAGTTAGACATCCGATCTCACACCTTCATCCGTCCCGCGGAAACTCATGTCCAGAAAGAGTCTGCAGGGTTGCTGCGGGCACTGGTGGCACGATCTCTGCTGCGCGTGAGGACGAGACAAAGCAGCGAATTGAAACCATGACCTTGGACAAGAAGCGGCAGATAGATTCCAACGCGGTGCCCCACGCTGCAGCGATCGGTATATACGGGTTGAAGGTTCCATCATTTCTGGGATTGTTTTTGGTTCGTCGGTTCCGATTGTTCACAGGATTTTCGGGCCCTTCTGTGCACATTTATAAACGAAGCACCGCTGGCTTGCTCTCCTTTCTCTCTCTCTCTCTTTTATCATTTTTTTGGTTGTGTGTGTGCGTAGCAATTTACAGCGTCAACCTCGGGGGTCGCAGTTGTAGAGTCCGGGGATTTGAGCTCGGACTTCGCTGGTTGTAGGGCTTTCGTTAAGGGCTCAGGTTTGGAGATGTTGGTTTGCAAATCGTTGGCTGCGGGGTTTTGGTCTAGGGTTCAGGGACTGCTGGCATTCAGCAAGTCCAGGTGTACGAAAGGTGCCTTGCACACATTGCTGCCATGCAACACTTTCCTCCTTGAATCTATTGTTACCCCGCAATGTGGCTAGGCGGGTGGCAAAGAATCGCTAAACCTTTGTTGCCACCCGCCAGGGTGGCAAAAGGTCTTTGCATTTGGGGGAGAAGTGGGGGTGTTCGAGGAACCCTACTAATTATACTAAGTCCTCGAATTATACTCATTATACAAATTATACTAACTATACTAAGTTTACCAACTATACTAAGTTATACTAAGTTATACTAAGTTATACTAAGTTATACGAATTATCAGATTCCGAGGCGGTCCTCCGCTGCCCTCCGGCGCGAACCTCAGGGGGGAATGGTGCTTGGGGGGCTTCTCTTTCAGAAATTTGGGGTTTAAGGTGTACGGAGCTGCAAGCACGTGCTAAACAAGGGTTTCGGACCCTCGAAGTTTCGCTGGTAGAAGAAGCTCGTTCGGTCAGAAGTTGGGGTGCCGAGGAGGGCTCAGAAGTGGGTTGAAGGTTGCGGGTCAGCAAGAAATCAGCTGTGACTGCTTTGTGCTTCAGGGCTGCATCGTTTCTGTGTGGTGTTGACAGGGACTTTGATGTCTGGGAGTTCACGGCAGGAACTGAAAGATTACGTCTTCAAGCAGATTGAGAAGGAGATCAAGATGAACAACAAAGCTAAGGAGAAGCCCGGATGTGAGTTCTGGCTTGTGGCACCCGTGGCTGGGTGATACTCCCCCACGGATTCTGCTTGCTGCTTGAACTGAACAGATGTGAACCTCTCTGCAGGAGGTGGAAGAGGCTGCTCCTTGGCATGCGCTTGGCAGTGCACGTCCAGCATGCCTTCGGCGTAAGGCGTAAGGATGCAACGCCCATGTGATGCTGTGATGCTGACTGAGGCGAACGAAGATGAAGAGGGGCTGGAGGCTTCTTGAGCATCTCTCTACACTACATTTTTCTGCCCCCCTGCCAGGTAACCCCTGGTTGGTCTTGCCGTAGTCTGTAGTCTTTGATGCAGGACCTGACTGAAGCCGATGCAGCATCTGTTGCGAAGGACTGCTGCTCTGAACGTTCCCCAAAGCCCACGGCTCCGAACTCCCGGCGCAAAGTCGCGTGGTGTTGAGATGATGCCCTTGGAATGCTTGGATTTCCGAATCAAGGAACAAAATTGAATCGCGAAAAGCCACGAGAGAAAGACAGAAGACTGCCAGGACACACTGGCTGGCAATGACGAGGCGGCTCGAGTCTTTGATGAGGTTCGCCGGCAGGGGCTTTCAGGGTTCGGCCTCCTGCCGAATTCTTCGAGGGATTTGTCCGAAGTTTGGTGAGGATGGTGATAGAAAGTGTTGAACAATCCGAACTCCAAAGCGTCAGGCTTACGTTCCGACCAGGTTCGACATAGGAGGCGTTGCTTTGTCCCACTGGGGTGTACGCGCAGTATGGCTGGGTCTCGGTGTAGACCATGATTTTGTTGAGGGCTTGCCTCGTTGATTCCTCCGTCTTGGACCCAAGCAAGAGTTCCAGAGCTCTGTGTCTTTGGCGTAGAGGTCTCGCGCAGTCATGAGCCCCGCAGGGCCTACACCTCCCGACACGCAAATCATGCACATGCAAATCCGAAGCCAAAATCGCGGCACTACCGCAGGTGCGCGGCATGGCAGAGCATCTGGGCGGCATTCGTGTCGGTGTCGCCAGCCAGGTCAAGCAAGGGTGTGTCCTGCTGAGAACACTTTAAACCCCGGAAGAGCAGATGATAACTGCAAAACCCGTTTCAGCATCCTTTGCGCCTAGAAGATCTAAGAGAACGCAAGCCGCAAGCAGATTAATGCAACCTGTCACGTTTCCTTCAAAGGTCACTGGAATCGCTTTTCGCCCCACACTGGAAAGAAGCGCCCGCTGCCTGAGGGCTTGAGGGGGCTAGGGAGGGATTCGGGTTTTCAGGGATTGAAGTCCGGACGCAAGGAAAAGTTTTGGCATCTGTTTTGCTGTCTGGGCCTGCAGTGCTTCGCACTTTGCAGCCTTCCCCAAGAGATCTTACATATGCGTCTGTGCCCTCTGGCTTCGGCGGCTTCTGTAGATGGTGCAAGTGCATGGCTATGGTTCTTCAGCACATCAGTTGTCCCACCGCTGAAAGGAATGGGGGCAGCCTATCCGCAAGAACACCGCGCGGCGGCAATCGACCGGGCTTGCCCTCCATCCACAAGAAGTGACGCCAGAAGTCCCTTAAGGACATCCTTCCAAGTAGCTTCTTGCTTCAGATTCCTCAATGGGGGTTTACGAGAATAGGGGACCCCCAATGTAGATCCCCAAATAGTAGGATCCCCGTATACGAAGAACGTTGATAAGGTACCCCCCTATACAGTCTGAAAGCGCTAAATTCCTAAATGTGGGTGTGGGCACGCTGTCCTAGCGTGGACGAGCGATGCCGACTGAATACGCTTCATCAACCCTACAACTGTTCATTCCTGTCCATGACCTGGGACTTCTCCCGAAATGGGCTTTGAGCGGCTGATTGGGGGAACCCCCAATATGGGGGCAGTGCTGTGGGAGGTAGGGGCAAGTTAGATCACCGCTGGGTCTTTGTGGAAGAGCGACGACGGCTCCTTCCAAATCCCCTCATGCTGCCTTTTTGCCACGACGGGGGCGCAGGTGTTCCTTTCTGAGCTTCTGCAGCTTAGGGCTTGTAGGAACCTAAGCGTGTAGACTCAAAAGGTGCGCTTTTTAGTTGAAGGTAGCTTTATTGAGTTGTAAGTCTTCAGCCGCACAGTTGTAAGCTTCTTGGCTCTCTGCTCTGCACCTGGCGCGCCTGCAATACAGAGACGTGCTCCGCCCGGTCGAGGGCTCGAGGAGGCATAAACCTCGGAGCTGAACATCAAGATTTTCATTCTTAGAAGATGGTGAACATCTGGTGATATGAAAAGATCATTGAAAGGTTGGAGGGTTTAGGGGAGTCTGTTTGCTGAGAGTGGCTCCGAAAATCGGCACCCTAAATTGGGTCCCATGATGCCTCGAACCCTAGACTTCTGGCCAGGGCTCTGAAGGAGCTTCGGTCCAACTGCGAGTGCCTGCACTTTACAAAATCGCGCCGACCTTGCCCCGTGTCCACCCCAACAAGGGCAGCGGCAGCATCCGGCTACTTGTGCGGCACCGTGTGGATGCAACTTACGCAGCCCAAATCCTCAACCGGCACAGCTTTCAGTTCACCCCAAGCCCTAAAAAGGTGTGGTGGGCGCGCCCCTGGCCTCCAGGATCCTGAAGGACATGCCCAACGCTGCGGTCACCGTCACGGAAGCCAGGGACCGCGCAGGCGGCTGTTGCCCATTAAGGGTAGGAAGGGGGGGTGCCCTTCGCAAGGCTAAGGCCCTTGAGCTCTAGAGCTCACACCAGCCTACCATACGCCCTAGACCGGGGCTCATTCTTGGACTCAAAGAC